GTACGGCACAAAATTATTTCAATCATTAACAACTATGCCGAGGTTAAAGCAATTGATGTGCGATTCCTTCCGAGCGGAAAGAGCTTTGTTAGAAATTGGCGTCGTGTCCAGTATGATGCGCAGTAGTCTACATGAAAATGCAGCACGCTCTCCAGTAAAATTGGAGAAATGCCATTGCACGGCAATGACATTGAAGTTCCGACTTCATATTCATATCATAACATATCATATCATATCTAGAGACTTCATATTTATATGAACTTCCTCGAAAGTCACAACGAATCCAGAGAAGAAGCTTGCTTGAGAACAGAGCTCAAGCCCTTCTTCGATATGAGTCTCCATGCAAGGATTGTAGGCGGTCGTAGTAAAGTGGTGGGCGCTTCCGATTTTCGATCATCGGCAAAAGGCTCACCAATATCATTACTGTGTATTAGGATGGTTGCTCTTATCCTCATTTTATAGGTGATTACGGGAAGGAAAAAAGGTATCTGGCCAGGAGCCTCGTTGAAAGGTGGCCCAATTCCTCAAAGATACTACTGCACTTGTGATACGCGTTGTCGATGTGCTTTGGGCCTCGAATTTATCCGATAGGGAAATATCAAAAACCACTTTCATTTATTTATTCATTTGTTTATTTATTTATTTATTTATTTATTTATACACTCAACAGAGTGGGCCAATAGGGGGAACTGAGGACAGGTGTCTGTGTTGCACGTGTACAACTACAGAAGAGCCTAACGAAGATCAACATAAAACGAAAAAATGAGCTGAGCTGAGCCAGCAGTGACAATCCGCTGAATACCAATATCTATACCAGGGTAGATGTGGAAAAGAACTCATCTACGAGGTCTGGGCCACACACGCTACAATAGCCAAACTGACAGCCTTTAAGAGGAAGAGTCCAGATAGCCACTACACTCACCTGTTGGCCATGATGCCTCATCCGAGAAGGAGTCATAGGACAAAGTCGGAACTTCGGCACACGGGTATGCCAACCTCCCTCGTGGAACCGACTTGTCGGATACTGGCAAAAGACAGTAAATGAACAAAAGGCTATGAGATTCAGCATGGAACACCGTGAACTGTGAATTTGAAGTGGAATTAGCTCACGCTGAAACACCACCTTTGTCGTTTCATTTCTACCAACGCTCCCTACGAGCCCTTATGGCTAATATTAACTTGGTGGAAGATTCTCTTAAGGAAGTTTTGCGACGCGCACTGTACAGCAAAATTAGGGTTCAATGACATTCGATTCAGCAAAGGGAGAGTAACGCAGCATCGCTAGCTCAAAAAATAGAGCGCACGGTGTGCGGAAACCAAAACTAGAGGCTCGTTCAAGACCGAAGTTTCGTTCAAAACTCGCCAACCTTGTGTTAGTTGTAAATTTTCAGTTGCGCCGTCGAGGATGGTTCACAATGTCAGACAGATGAAAGGCTTTTACTTCATAGATTATCAATAATTAAGATGCGAACAGTGGTAGTAATTTATCCTCGTCGCTTCTGGAGAGCACGGATCTGCTTGATTCTGTGGTTGCGTCTGGCGCGGCGGAGATTGGCGCGATGACGAGCGGCATGGGCTCGGCGACGGTGGGCAGCGAGTCTTCTTCCCCTTCGTGGACCTCTTCTTCTTCTCTGAAAGTCACGGGATTGTTAAACAGTATGGATGTTCCTAGACTGAAAGAGGCAGAACTTACTCCACGGACAGCACGCTTCTCACGTTTGTTTTCCTCCTCTTCGTCATCTTCCTCGTTTTCCTTAAAACATGAAAAGCTCCGCGCATGAGCGATATAAGGGTCAATTAGCTAAGAAAATCTAAAACGAACAGCGTCTACGTCTTTTTCTTCCTTCTCCTCCTTCTCTATCTCGGCAATGGCCTTGTTGTCTTCTTCTTCTTCTTCTTTGTCGATGATAGCCTCGACCTGCAATTACATTGTTTTACTCTTGTGCCTATTAGAAATCATGTGTGGGGTTGTAAAAAGAGAGCTTAATCACCAGATCCTTCTGTTCCTCATCGGTGATTGAGGCCAAAAGTTGTTTCTCTTCCTCCTTCAGAGCTCTGATCTTCGCCACGACAGCTTGGCCGGTCTCGGACAGCTGAAAAGTCTTGTTCAGCATCTCAAACAAGTATGTGCTTGCCAGCTTGCTTCCTTAGGAGATTATTGGAAAAAATCTGATGAAACCAATCACCTCCTCTTCCGCAAACGACACTACTGAGAGCGCAAAGAGCCCGAGGGCTAGAGCTAGGTACTTCATCTGAAATATTGCATTTAAACTTGGTTTCTAGGAAATGATATTTTACTGCAACGATCTCCGAGAAATAGTTATCGAGGAAGATTTACTCCCATATGGTCATACTTCTTGCGACCTGTCCTGGAAATGAGTTTTGAGTTCTATTGGGAAAATATAGTCTTTCCGTTAGCAAAGAGCTCGAGTTACAAACCGCGTCCAAAGACGACCGTTACTGCTACCAGAATTGCATAACTCATGAATCGCCACGCTACAGAAAGGTAAGAGGACATATCAGGTACACGCTAGAATTCCTTTTCAGGGGTTCTGCAGGAATGGTGGAAAAGGAGGTGCCCGATACCCACGAAAGTAGCATCACTTATGGCGGTGAAGCTTGAGGAATATCTAGAAGGAGAGCAAGGGAAAGCTGAAGATGAGCAGTTGATCAGGTGGGTGAGAGGTATCCTTTTATATGCGCAAGATGAGATGCGATAAACCCGATAGATCCGCCGCGCTTACCGGACCCTAAAGCCATCCGTCAACGCCGCTTGTCTCCCGAAACCCTTTGCGAAAGCGGCAGGTGATCGCAAAATCAGGAAATTGCATGGTTAGAACAATTAACTATGCAACTGGCACCTGTGTATGTGTTTCCAATGGGACAACCTGTTTCGCATAGTCCGATAGAGACTATTGGTGCCGGGTCCATTGGTGGCCAGACTTGGGAAGATATCTTCGAAAAAACGGTGACCTGACCTAACCCTGCAATGTTTTCCAGATTCTAATCTAGAGCTTTACAATAATCTAATGTATAATCTAAAACTTTGGACCTACTTGAATATCTGAATAGTAACAGCTCATCTCTTGAACATTTTTCGGTTTTTCTGAGAGATGTTTAGGTATTCAAGTTAGTAGTGATGGGTTACTTCACAAGAAACTCTCAGAAGCAGACATGAAGCTGTGTGAAGATAAGGCACCAACTGGAATATATTACAGTAGTCTCAAGAACTCAGGTATAAAATCATCGACTTAGGCAAGTAATGAGGCATACTTGAGCAGGAAAAGGATATACGTTCGGTGTTGATCAAACTCATAGAGCATGCTCCACCTGTATGTTTATTAACGCGGTGGCTGTTATACTCAGTTGCACACAACAATGAGTTGTAAATGATGTATCTGTCATTAATTTTGGATCGTGTGCGTGGTAAGTTCCCGTGTACAGTACCCCGTGCTCGACACCTAGTCAACGTTATTCCACGGCTAAAATTCCTCATGATATTCGAGAGCAGGAAAAGCAAAGTGTGAATAAGTTTCGGAAAGAGATCGAAATCGGCGGGATATAGGAGACGGGCAAACTGTTGCAGTGTTTTATGAATCCCTGATAACCAAGATTCGATGTTCTCTGTCGGAAAAACTGATTTAGCAATGACAATCAGTGGGCATAGCCAAATAGCCAGACACCTTAGCTACTGTATCGAAAGGATAACTGTTTTGAGAGAAATTCGCTTATCGAATAAGAAGATGCGTTTAAATGCGTGGTCTAATAACAAGGAAAAACTCGAACTTGTTTCAGTACCTCAGAGGCAGCACGCTCCAGTACTCTGCAAGAAAGTATACGAAAATCAACTTCATGTCTGAGTGGCATAGCTTTCATGAAAGTCAGCACATTGTGAAAACATCTTTATTAGAAAAATTATGGAAGTTTGCTTCCTTATAATTTCTAAAATGTTCACTGAAAACATTTACATACGAAGCTATATGACTAAGAAGTGTTCCCAACTCGGAAGAAAAGAAAGAAGCAATGTTCTCTTCACTTTGTTCGTATTCTCTTACAATTCACTCGGATCAACTTCAAAACTGATGGTGTTCACTATTTCTTTGACTCTGGTCTTGCCATTACGTTCCGCTTTCGATTATCAGAAAGCTTGCGGTCAGTGCTCCGATCATCATCATAAATTTGTTTCTTATGTTTCCTTTGTTTATCTGTGGCAGAGTATAAAAGCATAGCGGCACGTGAGAATAAAATAAATAAAAGACACTGAAGGAACTGTTCGTTCCCTCTCTGTATTCTTGAGCATGAACAATTCCCTTCATTAGAAGTATCGGCTTTAGACACCGTAAGACGTAGCAGTATTTATTACAAAGAGGTGTAGCTGTCGAGTGTGCGTTTTTCTTGAGTAAGTCTAGTAAGCGTCACCACGGTCTCTGCTATTCCGAGCAGCATTTCAGGCAAGTATACAGAGCTAGACGCTGGTTTTTGAAAACTCATTGGAACTGGGTCACCAGCACGACCATCTGCTATCAGACGAACATAGTTTCATGGGTTATTTCAGACTACAGCGCCAGGCCTCAACGCTGGACTTTCTTGCGCCGAACGCGACGCTCTTGCGTAAACCTTATCACTTTAATGATAAATTTTTTCAATATTTTTTCAAGACCGGCTTCCCTCGGACTCCAAAATTCGAACTGACCTCGAAGTGCCGAAGGACAAAACAGGAAAAGTCTTGGCTAACAGGTGAGCTAGTCACTGCCTGAATGAGCCAGCTGCTCGGAGATTGGTGTAAAAGCTACAACACGCAAAGAGAGGGTTCTGATAATCGCAGTTGGAAGGACATGATGTTAGTGCTTGGGAGTAAAGGCAGACAGACCTGAGGAGCCTGCAGAAAAAGGCTCAGAATTAGGAGTGCACGGGACGAAAGACCCCCAATGCATGGGGAGTACCTACGAACGTGCACCTACAGGGTCTCCCAGAATTATGTGCGCCCATTCCTTGCCATAAACCTAAAGCTTCTAAGCCGAGAATAACAACGAAATCTATACGCACGTTTGCTTACATCGTGTACAATAAAAAGCTGCAATCCCATTTCAGAATATACTCCGCTAGCATAGCTAGAGGCCCGTATTCTGCTCTCGAACTCTTTGCATGTGACACGCAGGTATCCCTCCATTTTTCCTCGGTCGTTCTTGAGTCTTGCTTTCATAACTCCAAACTGAGATCACGAATCCTACAGGTTCTTTTCTGATCAGGGGCCCAAGGAGTATTCAAGTGAGCCAAGATCTAGGGAACAGGACAGCTACTCCTCTCTGCTATTGAAGTCGGGCAGCTGGCGTCGGCGCCGTTCCCGGGCGAGCTTGGATTTGTGGGCTGGAGTAACATCCTGCTGGAATAACTGTGAGCTGTTTCATAGGGTGGAGTCGGAACAGTGCACTCTCCTTAGTGCACGCCTTTCATAATCTTTATGAAGGCACCGAAAAAACGGTGCCTTCATAAAGATTATGAAATTATGTTTTAAAATTGCCCGTAACTCCAAAAAAATTATCTGTATACTGCTGCCATAACAACTTTTTCGTGGGACATTGCACATTTGATTTCTCTATGCAGAATCAAACAATTCTGAATATCTTGTCCCTACAGAGTCTGTTAAGATAAGAATTGTGTGGCACCTCTGCATACGATAGGAATGGCAATGATGTTTCT